ACACCAAGCTTGGGAGCAATCGAAACGGCACCATCCTGAATGAAGACCTGCAAGAGGGCCAATATACCATCTTGGCCCCGGACACTCCCACCCGCTTGTGTCGGTCTGGGGTTCATTCGACTCGACATCTTCGTAAGTAACATGGGACACAACATCTCGCAACCTGTGGCATTCCAGGAGCTGAGCTCGGACCACTACCCGGTGGTGGCCGAAGTAGGCTTCTCGGCTAATAGATTTCAAGCATCCCGGCGAAACTACCATCGTGTTGAATGGAATCGGTTCCAGCACTGTGTCGACACCGCCGTCGACTACGAAGTAAATCCGGACGCCCCCGAAGACGTTGACCGATGCCTGCATTCCTTGGAGAAGGCGATATCCCGAGGCAGGGAACAACACGTGCCAGTATCCAGACAGGTGAACAATACTCTGAACCTTGATAGTCCCACTAAAAACTTTATCAGACTCCGCAACACCAATGTGTAGGCAGTACCAACGTACTGGACTGCCTGCCTTGAAGACCCATTGCAACCGTCTAACAATAATAATCCAAGCCAGGATGATGGACCTAAGAAATGAGAACTTTAGTAACAAAATGAGCTCTCTCCCAGATTGTGCAAAGCCCTTCTGGAAGCTAACAAAAATCCTTAAAAATAAGCCAAGACCCATTCCCCCACTTGTGCCGTTGAATCAACCCAATGATTCAGTTGCTCATCCGATAAACCCTGAAGAGAAGGCTGATGCTATAGGTCAACATTTTGTCAGCTCGCATAATCTCGGACTGAACATGCCTAGTCCATACGATACTGCAGTTGCGGTAAATGCAACCAACCTCCATCGAATTCCTAACAACTTTCCTGTGGAATCTATGATTACGGCTGACGAACTGTTGGCCTATACCAAATCATCTAAAAATATGAAGGCCCCAGGTTTCGACCAAATCCTGAATCTGGAACTCAAACACCTGAGTTCCAGATTCTTCAACCATCATTTTTAATCAGCTCCATCCTCTCCTTCAAGTTACCGACCCATCAACCTTTTCTCAGAGTTATCCAAGCTGTTCGAAAGAGCAGTCTACCGTCGACTCCTGGCATCTGCCGAGGAAAACAACATATTGCTCGAGGAGCAGTTTGGCTTCCGTAAAGGTCGCTCGACTGTTCACCAGCTCACTCGAGTAACAAACATTCTCAGACGGAACAAGTCTGTATCTAAAACATCTGGCATGGCATTGTTGGACGTTGAAAAAGCGTTTGACAATGTCTGGCATGCTGGCCTGGTGTTCAAATTGCAGCAGTACGGTCTTCCAATCTTCCTAGTGAAGATAATAAATGACTATCTATAGGACAGGACGTTCCGAGTCTCCCTGAATGGCATCACATCCGATGCTTCCAACATCGGTGCTGGGGTTCCACAAGGAAGCATCCTTTACCACATTTTATTCAACCTGTTCACCTCCGATATGCCGGCTCTCCCTGATGGTGGATCGCTGTCACTGTTCGCAGATGAAACATCCATCATATTTAAGGGTAGGGTCATCGGAGCTCACAAACACTGGCGATATACGCCTCCTCTACGATATCTCTCGACGCCTGAGTAGAGCAATTATGAACCCGAGGATGCCAGTGAAGGACACGACTGGACAATTGCTTACCGACCCACCCACTGACCAGCTGAAACGCTGGTTTGAGCACTTCGAACAACTTCTTCAAGTTTCGACGGCCAACCAGCCATCAACATCTCGGCATGATCCGCCTAGGGTGCGGCGCATCACTCGCGTCAATTCCGAGGCCCCATCACTGCAGGAGATTGAAGCAGCTATCCGAAGCATGAAATCCAACAAGGCTCCAGGGGTTGATCGCATATCAGCAGAGATGCTCAAAGCTTACCCCATGATATCCGCACAAATGTTGCATCAACTATTCTGTAATATCTGGGACACCGCGACTTTTCCGGCCGACTGAATGCAGGGCATCTTAGTGAAGGTCCCAAAGAAGGGGGATCTGACTGTGTGCGACAATTGGCGAGGCATCATGTTACTGTGTATTGTTCTCAAAGTTCTGTGCAAAGTTATCCTTTTTTTTAATGTAGTCATTTTAACACTCTTGGGTCATTCGTGACTTGTCCGGGGGTGAGATTTGAACTCGTGACTTTGGCGTGAGAGGTATGGATGTTAACTACTACGCCAGGGTCGCCCCCGCAAAGTTATCCTGAATCGGATACAGGAGAAGATCGACGCGACTCTCCGACGGCAGCAGGCAGGATTCCGTGCCGGAAGATCTTGTGTGGACCATATTGTCACGCTCCGCATCATCCTGGAGCAGGTCAATGAATTCCAAGAGTCCCTTTATTTGGTATTCATTGACTACGAAAAAGCTTTCGACCTTCTCAATCACGAGAATCTGTGGGGCGCCCTGAGACGCAAGGGAGTCCCGGATAAAATCGTCAACCTCATCGAAGCGCAGTATGAGGCTTTCACGTGCAGAGTTCTGCATAACGGAGCCTTGTCCGACCCTATCCGGGTAGTCGCTGGTGTGAGACAAGGATGTATACTATCACCGCTACTGTTTCTCATCGTAATCGACGAGATCATGGTAGGTGCAATTGACCGTGTAGGCTTTGGCAGCCTATCATCATGGAGCATCTCAACGACTTCGATTTGGCTGATGATGTTTCTCTACTAGCACAACGGCGCTCTAATATGCAGAGTAAGCTCAATGACCTAGCCGAACGCTCCTCTGCGGCGGGTCTCACCATCAACGTCAACAAGACCAAATCGTTGGATATCAACACCGGCAACCCTTCCAACTTTACGGTAGCGGGGCAAGCAGTGGAGAAGTTCGAAAGTTTCCAATATCTTGGCAGCCAAATAGCGTCGGACGGCGGGACCAAGAGCGACATAGGTGCACGAATCAAGAAGGCTAGGGCTGCCTTTGCGAGTTTACGAAACGTATGGAGATCCAACCAGATAAGTCAACGCACCAAAATCTGAATTTTCAACTCGAACGTGAAATCTGTGTTGTTATACGCCAGCGAGACGTAGTGTGTATCAGCGGAGAACACTCAAAAGCTGCAGGTCTTCATCAACCGATGCCTGCGGTATATAATTCGTACCTGGCGGCCTCACAACTGGATCTCGAATGCCGAGCTCCATCGTCGATGTCATCAGAAGCCGATAGCAACAGAAATTCGAGAGCGAAAGTGGAGGTGGGTCGGCCACACACTTCGACGGGGCGGAAACGAAATCTGCAAGTAAGCGCTGGATTGGAATCCGGCAGGACATCGCAACAGAGGCAGACCCAGGGGCTCATGGCGGCGGAGCCTCAATAAGGAAATTAAGCAAGTCGATAGGAATCTGACCTGGGCCCAGTTCAAGGCAAAAGCGAGCAGCCGCCCAGGATGGAAGTCTTTCACGTTGGCCCTTTGCACCGCTGGTGGTGCACAGGACCCTTAAGTAAGTAAGTAAGTCATCGGAGCTCTGACCGCCAAACTTCAGAGAGGCCTAAATGTCCTGTCAGAATACTTCAACAGCTGGAAGATCCGTATCAACGCGGCAAAGACTCAGGTCATCATCTTTCCTCATTCCAAATCACCCAGACTTGTTCCGTCTGAGAATAATAACATCAACTTGAACGGCACAATGGTGGAATGGTCAAAAGAGGTAATAAACCTCGGGTCCTCGGCCTTACACTCGACAGCAAGCTGCTTTTCAGGGAACATATTGATAATACAAAAACCAAATGTAACATCCTGATGAAATCCTTATATGCACTCATCAACAGGCGATCCACTCTGTCCCTGAAAAACAAGCTTGCTGTCTATAAGCAAATAATCTTTCCTGTAATAGAATACGGGATGCCAATCTGGGAGAGTAGCGCAAATTCCCATGACCTCAAATTACAAAGGATCCAAAACAAGTTTTTGAGAATGATCCTCAACAGTCCTTCACGAATGAGGAACTCTGAGGTCCATCGCCTGGCTGGTCTTCAGACGCTGGAGCTACGGAGAACAGCTACCATCCAAAGGTTCAGAGATTGCTGTAGGAAATCCGATCAGTTGATCATTAGGAATCTGGCACGTTAGGTTAAGCTTTAGATTAAGTAGGTAGCTTATCAAATTCTTAAATTCAATCAGAACACAAGGGGGCAAGGGGTTCTGATTGAAGGTAATGCGTTACCATCTATTGGTTGGGACGCTGGAGAAGGTGAAGGCAACTCGAGGTAGGAGATTCAAATTAATTTGTAACAACCTTTGGAGTAATGAATTTTGGTTGGACCTATCCAAAAATGAATCATGTGGGACCTATTTTTACTGGCGATAATTTAATCCAATAAAGTCTAAGAAACTTCTTCTAAAAACTCATAAATATAAAGAAAAATATTTGTTCTAATGATTAACCTTGTGATATATTTAGTTTTGCTTTTATTGTGTTTTCAAAAATTGCTCTCTTTTAATTAATTTTCTCATCAACATAGCTCACTTAAGAATGTCCAAAAGAAGAACGTTTACTTACATTTTCAAAATTTTTGTGCAGTATAATACTACTTAAAGATGGTTAACTTCATGCCAGCACACTATCATTGCATTAATTTTATATAAAAGTTTGAATGCTTGGCAAAATTCCTAATTTATATTTGTATTCTGGTTTGACCTAGTTGTTTCCTGCATTGGCTATCAGGTGTGCTTCGGCTGCAACATAATTTCCTGTTTACTTTCCTAGTCACAACTTTCTTAAACAGAGCATAGAGGAAGTAGATGAATTCTCATGTGATTTGAATCGTCGCATAATGGATTTTGATCTTTAAAAAATATAATTCATTATAATTTTAGGACCACCCTAGTGAACTTGATTGAAATTCAATTCTAAATATGTTTGGGTCAAATTTAGCCACAGCACTTTGCTTAATGCCAATGCCAACACTTTCAATGGAATACCCGATGCGTTCTACCAACTGATAAAGGCAATTAAGTTTCGAAGCCATGGCTGGTAATAAAACACAAAGTGCTCCCCATAAAGATAGATGGCTGCCATCGTTAATTTTCGATAGAATTTTTATTATCCCTTCCATAATTGGTCAGCATTTCGAAGACTTCACCTACTTACTACACACGATTGCTGCTGTAGTTCTCCAGGAAGCTGGCCACAATGAGGCCTTCCCGGGTCGAGGGCCAGGCCAGGTTACGAGCGGCTGCGGCTCGTGCCGAATTGGCCACTGCCTGTGGGATGGCACGGTCAAGCGATTGTAGGAGGTGTTCCAACTGCAAGAAACCGATATTATTGCTATAAAGTTTAACAAATGAGTTCCGAATCAAAATCTCACCCGATCCAGTTCAGCAGCATTGTTCGTTTTGGAGCCAATGTTAACTACAATGCTGTTGAGGAAGCCTTGTCCGAGATGTCTGAAAAAACGGTTATCTTGTATTTTTGTCTGAATCTAATTCTAATTCACTGCCAGAACTTACTGCAAAACATAGTCGTACAAATCAACGAGGAAATCAATCAGCACATCGACACCTTCGCGGCTACCGGCTGCGACTGCGTTCAGAACTCTTCTTCGCTCCGCCTGGGAGTAGTTGATTTGGATGACACCACCCACTGCAGTGTACAGGTAAGCTCTCAATTCTACCTGATCGTCGGAGCATCCCAGCGAGTCGATGAGCAGCGTCCGCAGAGCTTGGTTGTCACTAGTTTTGAGTATGTCGTACAGATATACGAACGCTTCCTTGGTAGATCCACGTAGTCCGAAGCAGTACGTAACGGCGCTAATGTCCGGGTGGACCAACCCACTCTGCTGGACAGTTTCGTTCAGTAGAACATGGGTGCGGTTCAGGCAGTCTTCTTGTTCAGTCCTGCAAGCCCAAGTGGAGATGGTTTGCTTCATGAACTTGTGTAGGTTGGTTTCGTTTTCACCAACCGAGTCGATCGAAAGTGTACCGTAGACACGTTGCAACAAGCTGTGCACAAATCGTTGGAAGTTTTCATAGTTCTCCGTGCCGCGGAGTCGGTTGTAGAAGTAGCCAATGATTGGACTCACGGCAGTCCACGGAGGATATTCCATCTCGTTTTGCAGGTAGACCATCAAGTCCAAAAAGACCTCCATATCCAGGCGGTTCGCTAAAGCCAAGTGGAAGGCATCGTCCAGAAGTTGTGCTCGATTATACCTGTGCACACTGGCCCAGTTGGCAGTCAAGGCGTCGATGATGAGGTACCAGTTCTGTACGTCGTAGTTTACGCGATAGAATCCAGTCTGGAGTTTGTTGACAATGATCCAACGATCATCTTGTACGTTGGTCGAAAGGCGCACAGCACGATCAGTCAACCAATCCCAGGAGAGTTCATTGAAGTCTGCGACTGATTGATTGACTACATTATACGGTACAACCCACAAGGTGGGATCGTTATTTAAGATTTTGTTATCGAAGAACCGATCTTGCGAAAGAATGATTTCGTTGGTGCGATAGTTTCTGCGAACCTCCAGCACCGGATACCCAGCTTGTTCAGTCCAGTTTTTGACAAAGTCATGCATTGAAACCCCCTCCGGTAGAATGTCGAGGTCTACGGTAGCCTGTTCCATCGCGTCGATCAAGCTATCTGGATTGACTGCGCCCAGTTCATTATCTAACAGGTGGATTTTAATCATCTCACTCCAAGCATCATCCCCAAGAACGCCTCGGAACATGTTCAGAACAGCACCGGCCTTCGAATAGGCAACGTTATCGAACAAGCTAATAATTGCATCGTTAGTGGCACCTCTGCTGTAGCTCATTGGACGCGTTCCTTCCCATGAATCGGCATCCAATGCCCACTGGGTGACTTCCAGGGTGAACAACTCAAAGTACTCCATCTCCGGCTTGGCCAGATTGGCAGCGTAGAATTCGTATAGCGTCGCGAAGCCTTCGTTCAGCCATAGATAACTCCACCATTCGTTGGTCACGACGTTACCGAACCACTGGTGGATGTACTCGTGCGCGATGATGGTGTCAATCCATGTGCGGGTGCGGTAAGTCGTTACTTCTGGGTCGTTGAGCAGGAGGGATTCCCTGCGGGAGTGGATGAAGGTGGATATAGTTAGAAAAAAAAAGTAAGAGGTTGTATCCAAGACACGACCGTAGATTTGACGTAGGATTACGAGAGGTAGTTTGATGTCAGAGCAAAACTATAGTATATATTAGATTGATTTCTTAACTCGTTATCAGTGAAAAAGTTCGATAGGTTGAAATTCGGAAGCAATTTGAGAGTTCTGTTTGTGAGGTGCTCTGTCGATGTCCGTGTAGTACAAGCCAATTCAAGCTCTTACTATTTAGTTAACTTTTTTTTATCAGTCATTTGTGGTCCTGAAAAGGACCGATGGAAAAAGAAAGCTAGTTTAAAACAATGTTGTGAAAATTTGTCCGCGATGTTCTTGGAGATGATAGCGGTGCGGAAATGAAATATGTATTAGGGAAATCACATCAATCACAGAATCTGAGCCTACGTTTATGCTTTTTGACGCAAATTTTAAGCCCCTTCTATTAAGAGAATACGGCAAGATTTCTTTTGGCATAATTCTCTTAATAAGAGTGGCTTAACATTTGCATCATAAGGCATGCAATGCTCAGTGCTTGGTATCAATATTCGGTGACTGTGTTAGGGAAACCACTTTTCCCATCACGGAAACGCCTCGTTTTCTGATGTCAAAATTACGCATTTTCGTGCACAAAACTCACAGAACTTTTGGTTTATTCAATAGATAATAAAAAAGCGAAAATTGATTGGTGGAATTTCTTGATCAAATTTTTCCAATCGCGAGATTTTCGCGATCAATCATATAAATTTGGGTTTTTTTTTTGCTTTTTTAGCGTCCTGGAGAAAACCTATCGAACTGTTTCTGGTTATTTGAAATGGTCATGTGGTGAGACCGGATGGAATTCAATTTTGAAATCTGTGTTAGGGATAGCACATTTCGCAGGCAATCGGTGAGCATTTTATTATCATAGCAACACTTGCACATTCGTGCAATTTTCAGTAGTGTTATTTTGAAAAATGATAAATCTTTAATTTTAACAGACTCACTGAAAAATTTCAAATCGATTTGCGTATTTAGAATTAAAATCCATCATCTCTGGATCAAAATCAGACCACTTTCATGCCGCGACCGACTTTCTATTCTGAAATTGCTCTGTCAATGTTGCATTAAAAATATATGGTATGTTAGATTTAACCATAACCTTGACAAATCAAGCTGAACTTTGCATTAGGTCCTAAGTAACATGTATAGATTCTCTTCGTCGACTTTCTCTTTGTATCCCCACGGCCATGTAATGACATGCCTAGGTATTTTCAGCACACAGATCGATAAAAGAAGCTTTTATCTAGCATCTATTACAACAAACACAAAAAGAAACGGTTATGTGCTCAAGTTATTAATGAAAGAGAAAGTCGGAGTAGTGAATCGATCAATTTTATTTAGAACCTAATGCAATGTTCAGCTTGAAATGTCCAAAAAATACTCTTTATCAAATTTATGGTGGCCTTAAAAGGACTGTTTGGTCGTAATGATTGAGTAACATGGATGATACTGGCGAGCTGTATGTTGTTTGGAATGAGGGTGACACGCTTGGCATAGATGGCCCACAGCGACTCACGAAGATGGATCCTGATCAGTAGCGGGGAGGCTCCTGCTTCGGTGAATCGACGGTCACGTGGGCTGCAGCTCGCTGCTTGCGGGCAGCCTTTCGTTGTGTACAATGTTCAACGCTACGCGCCGAAAGCACTGCTGCTGCTGCTGCTGACGACCGACCGTACACCACCACACACGGTGATTGAATAAGGATCGAATTCGATTTTGAAATCTGTGTTAGGGATTGCGCTATTTGCAGGCAATCGGTGATAATTTTGATCACTATTGCAACAGTTGGACATTTGTGTAATTTTCTGTAGTGACCTATTGAAAATTAAAAGAGTGTTCAATTTTGCAAAATTTCTAATCGATTGGCTTGTTAAAAATTAAAATTCATTCGCTATTGACAGAGTAATATGTAGTCAAAACCTGACCACTTTTCGTTATGCAATCAATGTTGGTTTTTTGAAATTGCACCCCCAATATGTTGCCGAAATCCTACGTAAAAATATTAATTTAAATTAAGATAAATTTTGCAGAATATTTCTAAAACATAACCTGCATTTCCTTAATCTCTGAAAAATTACAGGTCTTTTATAGAAGGTTTGAGATATTCAAAAAAGTTAGGAGCTCTATATAGCAATTTTGAAAAATTCAGAGATGTTCAAAAAAAAAACTCAAAGGAACATCCGAAACATTCTGAAAAGTTTCAACTTCAACTTCAGGAAACTTCCGAAAACTAAAGCAAAGTCCAGAACTCTATGAATTTCAATGATTCTCGAGGGTAAGTTCCGAAAACTTACTTCAGGACAATTTTGCTACAATAGAGAAAATCAGAGAACGTCAAAAAAATTAAGAGGTTGTATCCAAGACACGACCGTAGATTTGACGCACGCTATGTCTGAAGGCACTTTTTTTGCAACATTCATGTACCTCAGTGTTTTCTTCACAGGATGTTAGTATTGATCCTAACAAACAAATCTGTGATGGTTTTAAAATATTTCATCTTGGGTTTATTGAGAAAGAGTGTTTTGAAGTTTAAAACGCTGATTATGAAGGCGTATATGGACTATTGACGCTACCAAACTATTAATCCAGGAGATAGTAAGTATCCGAAATTGTTGTGTCTCGTACTCAGTAGGTGGCGAATGTGGCGATTGCAGTCCTGAGAGGTGGTAAATTTGCTTGGATTTTTAAAAATAAATAAAGATGTTTGACTCAACGGCGAGTACGAAAATAAATTCTGGCAACCATGACAAATTTGTTTGAAAATCGTTTAACCGATAATGGCCATAATACAGGAATGAAACCCACACGAGGTTAGAAACTCTTGCCCAGTAAGTTTAGGTAGCCCTCATCTTGAATTACTAAAGAATTGCAAGAGATTCTTGCAGTACCCTTATTTTGTCTAAGGAAACTTTCAGGAAGGTTCAGCGACTTTCTAGGAAATTCCGCGAACTATAGTGAACTGTGGCGAATTTTAGGAAAGTTCTGCAGTTTTAGCAACTTTCAGAGAAGCTCATTGAACTTCAGGGAGGGAAGTTTTACAAACTTCAGGAAAATTATGCCATATTCAGGGACATTTTGTGAGCTTCAGGCGAGTTTAATGTCCTCCTGGTAAGTTCTACGAAGATAAGACAGTTTTGTAAACTATAGCAACATTATAAGAATTATAATGATGCTCTGCAAAAAGTTCTTTAAACGCCAGGACATTTTTGCAAACTTTAGGATGATCTGTGAACCACAGGGAAAATCTACAAACATTAGGAAAGTACTGTGAACTTTAAGAAATATCTGAGACATCCAGATAAAAAAATGACAAACTCAGAGACGTTCTGCGAACCTCAAAGAAGTTCTAAGATCATCAGGAAAGTTTAAAGAATTTCATCGAAGTTCAACGAAGTTCAACGAAATCAAGGGAAAATTTCTGAACAGGGATTTGAATTTGAATTTAATTTCTATAAGCTAACTTATCAGGTCGTTGATGGAACAACTTCCACTCCATGTCTTAGAAAACAGGTATGATAGAGAGAATTTGTTGCGATATATCTTTCCCTTTTACGCTTCCCTTATGAAATGTGATCAACGGCATGAGCAGGGTGGAAGACGTAAAAAATGGGAGTTCGCCACCTAAAAAAAAATACCGTGATTACGGCTCACGCATGTTACACACTTTAAAAAATCTACACGCGCCGTTCATGTGTTTCGCATTTGAATTGGCGCAATGTGGCAAACACATTAATTTCAAATGTATAACTTATGAAATCAGCCATACCTTACCTATGCTTCATTCGCTGACAGCACACATGAATTTCATGTGATTTAAACGTCAAAGTCATGTGCTTGATTTATAATCATGAAATGTGCAAATGTTGTACCAGACATGCTAAATTTTTGCGTGATGCACATGCATTTGTTGAAAGATATTGTAGCAATCTAATAGTATAACTATTGGATTTAGATTTTATTTGTTGCTTTGAAAATGATAACGGAGTTTCATTTGAGAAAATCGTAGTCATGCATACTACATTCAAATATTATCGTACAAACAGAATAACATATTATCCAATACCTTTGAAACTCAAAACATTACTACGGTCTGCTTAAAAGATAATTATTGAACGGGTTATTTATAATTTCATATTGTGGGTACAGTAGATTAATCGTAGTAGATAACTTAACCTATCAAATCAAATACCGCTGTCTTCGTAAATAAAGTTGTGCTTTTTTTTCCTGTATACATAGTAGTAGTATACGTATACACGTATACGGATGTCCAAAGGAATTCATTTTCGTTCTAGAATTAAAATCATATGATCAGTCCTATCCACTTTCAAACATTCAAAGCGACTCCAGTTTAGACTCTGTACTCTGTACAGTCAAATTTAAACTGCACTCTTAGAAAAAAAATCATGTAAATTTAGGAGCTCTGAGAGTGACATACGAGCGTCAATTTTGACACAAATTTGAGCCATGGCAGACGCGAATTATAGCTCAATCAAACGTACTTTTCGTCGAGCAACAAACTTTTCTGTCTCGGAGCACTAAACATTACAAGACATGTTTGTTTACGTCTCTTCTTTTATGTCAAAGACGGATTCCGTCACTAATTTCCCACAAACTATACTCACATACTCACGGTTAATAATTTCGATGATTTTGTTAGGAAAACCTAACTCCACTAACACGTCTTCTCTCTTCGCTGTTGCCTTCCATGTTTGTTTTGACTCTTAAGGTAGGTACTCTTCTCAGTAAGATCCCATGCAATTCATGTCATGTCATACACGTTAAATACACTAGTAGGAAACAGTAGCGCAGAAATATATGGGGATCTCTTTGATTTCGATAAGTTAGCACATGAAATCAATGTAGTATTGATTTCATAAGCAACAAAAACATATTTTTTGTAATTAAATCTCATGACATCCGTGCGAAAAGAACATGGTGACAAGTAATTAACGGTCTTCACATTCCAAAACACATGAATGGAACGCGTCATTTTTTTTGAGTGCATTGCCGTTTACCGGTATAAACAATCAGATCGAGGTTCACAAATATTCAGAAGAAAGATGTTAACAAAAGGTTCAAACCATTTTGACTGTCGAATTGTGTGGCTGTGTAGAAATTTACAAATCATGTCTGACGTAGTTTTCTCCTGGGAAACGTCATACATGTAGTGAAAACCAGAAACTTCAGAATCTCTCCGAACCGGCTGACGAAATTAAGGATCACTTTGTTGCCAAAAGCATTAGAGCAGCGTTTCTCAATCTATGAGTCGCGACCCATCAGTGGATACAGGCTATCCTCAGGTATTTCGCATAAATTCATAATTTTTTTTTTTAACTTGCATGTAGAATAAATCCGATTTTAAAATTATGCAGGGGTTATCAATTTAAAAGCCGTTTTGGCATTATACAGCCAGTTTGGAAAGTCTAGGCCATTTTGACTTATTTGGACCATTTTTGGGTATTTTAGGACCATTTTAACGTGTCATGATTATTATAGGAGTTGTCATTTTTAGACTGTTGATAAGATTTGTAGACCAATAGACCGATAGACGTTTATGATGCAATTCTAGGACGTTTTAATCTTTTTAAGCAATTGTGAGGCCTTGTTGGTGTTTTGACGTTTCAATGCCATTATAGTGTTTTGATGCCTTTTTCGCGCTTTAAAGCTTTTATTTTATGGCTTTTTTATAATCATTCTGGCGTAGGTTTTGACTCGGTTTTTTAACATCGTTATGAGGTGACTGCCGAAAATGCGACTGAAATGTTTGACTACTTTAATCTCTTTTGAATCATTTTCAGCAGAATTTGTTTCGATACGTAACAGTTGTGTATAGTCAATAATCCATATACGCCTTCATGGCTAAGTGTACTTCAAAACACTTTTTCTCAAAAAACCCAAGATGAAATATTTTAAAACCTTCACAGTATCAATATGTCGCCTATGTTAGGGAAAGCACTTTTTGCAGGCAATCGGTGATAAGTTTAATCAGCAGTTCAACAGTTGGACTTTTTTTTTGTAAATTTCAATAGTGACCTATTGAAAATTGATGGAATTGAGTGTTCATTTTAGCAGATTCGTAGAAACATTTCTAATCGATTGGCTTGTTTAGAATTAAATTCTATCCGCTATAGACAGAGTAATAAGTGGTAGATTTTGGAAATTGCACCCCCAATATATTGTCAAAAAACGTTTTCCTACGTAAAAAAAAAAAAAAAAAAAACAGAAGCATTACACAAACTTTAAAAAAACATTAGAAAACTTCAGGTAAGTGCAAATATCTGTGGGGAAGGTTAGAGAGGGTATGCTTCAAGAACTTCAGGATTGTTCCATAATCATGCGGAAAATAAAAGCTTTTCCGAGTTCCGAAAACATAAAAAAATGGAGAACTTCAGAGTCGTTCTATCCACCTCTAAAAAAAATTGGTGAGGTTGTTTACAAGACACGACCGCAAGGTTGACGGAGACTACGTTAAGCTGTTTAGCGCACATCTTGTGCATTTTTCTTGATATTGATTTAAAATACAGTTTAAGTAACCTACACCCAACCGGGGGATGTAATATTCGCTCACAATTATGTGGGATTCATCATCAGAGGATGTTAGTGGAGACCGCATGAACCGAGGATGCAATATATTAGCTGCGGTCCAATGCAAGAAAATTGGACATCGAAAAATGTGGAGTGTATTAGTGAGTGAAATAAGTTTGCCGAAAAAAAAAACAATAGGAAAAAGGTTGCCGACTGGACTCGAAGAAACACGAACGTTGCGATTAACAGACCTGTGCTTTCTCAACTGCTCTCTTCATGCTTCTGAATGTGGTTCCTAAATTGCAATCAGATATGAGTATTAAAAAACGAACATAAGACGAAATATACACACTTAGAAATAACTAATTTTACACGTGACAGAATCCGTCTTTGACATAAAAGATGAGACGTAAACAAACATGTCATGTAATATTAAGTGCTCCGAAACTGAAAAGTTCGTTGCTCGACGAAGAGTACGTTTGATTGAGCTATATTTCGCGTCTGTTATTTCTCAAATTTATCTCAAAATTGACGCTCGTATATGTCACTCTCAGAGCACCTAAATTTTCATGATTTTTTCTAAGTGTGTAAGCAAGTTCCCCACCTTGATTTTTGATTTCTGAAGGGGCTTTTCATGAAAATTATCTAATAAAAAATGTTTCTCTAAAACCAGTGAACCTCTCCGCCATGAAGGTTGTGAAATAAAATATTTCCCATTAAAATACGTTTATTTTTTTCCAGTTTTAAATTAGGTCTTTGAAGCAAAGAAGAGGGTGAAAGTTGCATTTTATGATAACGCAACAGGCAGTTGTGTTTTCCTTATCAGAAGACGGTACTCTCAAATATTGAACAAAATGTAGATTTATATGTAGAGGAGGAAGGGGTATAACGATCATAAAGGGGTGATTTAAGCACCCCTTTGTTCTAAAATTTGGTGGAGAACCCTAATAAAAATATATCATTTATCATCATTTTCTTCTTTACAGCGTGACCGTTTTATGCAAAATTATATAGAATATGTTATCTGTCATTTTCCACAGAGATGGCGCTGTTCCGCTGGTGAAAAGTGATCAAAATACCCATATATAAATTGAGAGAAGTGGGGATAATTCGCTTTTGGTGCATATTCACTGAAAAAAAAGTGAACGGCAACCTACAATTAAATAAAAATGATTTTTCCCCATACAGTTTAACCTGCTTTACTACCAGTCCTTAGAGAGCCAAAGAATTCAATTTTGAGAGAGAAAATTCTCTCTCACGATTGAGCATTAGACTGATGCAAAATTTGAAATTTTCGCTCCACAGTGCTCAAACGGTTCCAAATTGGGTCCTGATCAGCCTTCCTAAATTTGAACTCATTTAGTGAGAAACTGACTTGGCACAAACCATTTGAAATTTATAGCTTAGCTTAGCTTAGCTTTCACTTTTCGATCAAATGTAAGGAACAAAAATGATTAATGATTCAAGTCACTGATGTCTTATGATTATGCTCAATCAACTGTTCAGCAGGCAACATTGGTGTTTATGGCGCGTAGAATAGAGGACAAAAATCATGTCTACTATGTCACACTGCAGATAACAGTGTTGCCTACAATACAGTTGCTTAATCTTGCCATAAGATTATCAATCTCTTAAACAATTAATAACTATTTAATTTGACGTTTGGTTCAAAAACAATTTTCTGCAAAGTTGTAGCTGATAAAAATTCCCATAAGCATAGCAAAAAATTTTTTAACAGTACTATATGTAAAAAGGCTAGAAGACAATGAACAAAAAGTTTTGTTTTCGCATAGTAATTTCCATATAAATTTCAAATGGTTTGTGCCAAGTCAGTTTCTCACTAAATGAGAAAAATTTCAAATTTTGCATCAGTCTATTGAGCATCTCTCAACATGCCATGTATTTTTATGACACTCGATTGGTGATTTCCCTTTCACAGATTACAAAATAGAGTACTGTCACTACAAAACATGTCGGGTACCTCTACACACTTAGAAAAATTGATGTAAATTTAGGTGCTCTGAGACTGACTGATACTGAAATTCAGCTCAATCAAACGTACTCTAGAACTTTTCAGTCTCGGAGCACTTAATTTTACATGACATGTTTGTTTACGTCTCATCCTTTATGTCAAAGTTGGATTCCGTCACGTGTAAGATTAGGTATTTCTTAGTGTGTATATATGCATTTAGTTAAACATTTGAAGTCCCTTCTTTTTTACAAATTCTGCGCAAAAGATACTTTCTGCCCCGCCCATACATAAAAATCGGCGGGAAATTCTGTGAGAGGTGAGCTATTTTGTGTGCAGAATGTGTAAAAAAGGAGGGACTTCGAATATTAATCTAAATGCACACACTTAGAAACACCTAATGTTACACGTGACGGAATCCATCTTTGACATAAAGGATTTACGCTCATCCTGTCATCCATGTCATGTAAAATTAAGTGCTCCGAGACTGAAAAGCTCGAAAATACGTTTGATTGAGCTGAATTTCACGTCTATTATGACTCTAATTTATGTAAAAATTGACGCTCGTATATGTCAGTCTCAGAGCGCCTATATTTACATAAATTTTTTTAAGTGTGCATATATATAGGTACCAGACATGTTTTGCACTGCACTGTCCTCTGTAAACAATTAACGTAAAACAGATTATGAGTAGTTTTCGATAGATGTCACCGCAAACAACAGCAGTGACATCTGATGGAACATGAATGCAGAAACTTGACAAAATGATTGTTTGAGGAAAAGGATGCTCGACTCACCCCGTACTAGTATTCTATCTGTGACTTTTCTCAAATCAAAAGTTTGGTTTCGAATAAGTATGTGTTTAGTATAAAATTAATTGAAAATCAGGGGGATTCAGTTATTGAACTGTTAAATGTTTTGATAGTATGCAGCACAGCTATGCATAGAACGTATGCATTTCTAACTGGCTTGTTAATTATAATTTCCCACTCGAGTTGAAAGCCTTCTCTAACGTCCCAACCAAGGTGATGCATTACCTCTAACTGTGTTCATGCTGTTAGAATGACATTGAAAGTCTCCCCTACACGAAGAATTATGCTATGAAACGGCGGGGCATAATTGGATAGATTTTTCTTACTTACTTTATATTAGATTAAATTACTAAAATCTTTGGTTATTATTAGTTAGGTAGGTGCTGACTATACACATTGTAGTTTCATTTTTATACCTGTGATCTTGACATTTTTACCTAGGGGATGAGTACTTAAGCTACTTAAAAAGTGTGCTCTGAATCTGAATTCAAACAAGTGACTTGGCGTTAAAGTCTAAAATCCCTAATGGCGGTAAACACCAACTCGGATTCACTTTTAATACCGTCCCTGTTTGGATGATCAGCAAAATGTTGTTGTCACTCATCAAGCGCGTCCGCTGCGAGATAGTTTTTACCACCGACAAACCGACATGACACTTGATTCTGAGTTATGCCCGGAAATCGTATACGGTCGATTTAAATGTGCAGTGATCTGAACTGAAAAAAGGGGATTGAAATTCAGTGGACGGTTCCGTACACCCCGGAGCTTAACGGGACGAGTGAACGTATGAATCGCACTTTTATCGAAAGGGCTCGTGCGATGTTCGAGGGTGCAAAACTCAACAAATCGTTTTGAGTTCAAGCGGTCCGCATCGCAGCATATGTCATAAACAGATCGCCGACGTGTGCAATCGATTCGAACAAGACACCTTCTGAGTTCTGGGAAGGCAAACGGCCGGATGTTTCCAGACTTGGGAGCTTGGGATGTGCAGTCTACGTACATGTCCCTCAGGAGCGCCGCAGGAAACTTGATCCAAAGGCGTGGAAGGGAATTTTTGTTGGATACGCGGCGAAAGGATATTTGGTGTGGAATCCCAATGAAAATTCGGTCGTGGTCGCTCGTGACGTGGACTTTCTGGAGCAGCAGACGTTCGAAGAAGAGAACGCGAAGAAAGAAGGTGGTGTTTCAGTGATTCGTGTCGGTGGACTTGAAAATGACACAGAAGATGAAAGAAGTGACGATAACTGGGATGTGTCGGGAGGTTCCGATGCCAACGATTCGGTGAACGACGACATATGTGACGATGGTGATCAAGACGATGAACCCCGGCCGATGAAAGTAATGGAAGTGCGCGTCTGGTCAGAAATCGAAGTGCTCCGTCGTGGCACAAAGACTTTGAAGTGGACTACGCCGGGTTCGCGCTGAATGCGATGTCGTATGTAGAAGATTTGCCTGAAACAGTATCAGAGTGTCGGAAAAGGGAAGATTGGCCTTAATGGGAGCAGGCATTACAGGAAGACATGGATTCGTTGGCGAGGAACGAGACATGGACCTTAGTAAAGCTCCTGGAAGGACGAAATGCCATAACGTGCAAATGGGTCTTCGAGATCCACTGGGCCCACTTACGACGTGTATTACGTTACATAAAAGGAACGCTGGATTTTGGGCTAGTCTACCAAGGAGACGATGCGGGCCCATTGCTCGAAGCATATTCCGATGCTGACAGGGCGAATGGAATCACCAATCGTCGGTCCGTGTCGGGTGCAGTGTTCAAGGTGTATGGTGCTACCGTGAGCTGGAGTGCGAAAAAGCAAGCTACCGTATCTCTCTCTTCTATGGAGGCCGAGTTAACCGCACTTTGCGCGGCCACCTTCCATGGTCAGTGGCTGGTCAGGATCCTGGAATCCAATCACCTACCATGAGGACAACCAATCCACAATGAAGATTGCCGCTAACCCGAAGGATTCTGGGCGGCTGAAGCACTTGGACGTGAAGCATTTTTTCGTCCGAGAACTGTTGGAGAGCAACCAGATACGAATCGAGTATATCCCTACGTTGAAGCAGCAAGCAGACATACTGACAAAGAGTCTGCCAGGCCCTGCTTTCAAGAAGTTCCGCGAGTACCTTGGATTGACCAGTAGCAGAGTTTGAGCGGGCGTGTTAAGTATGCAAACCCTACGCCTATGCTCAATCCATTGCACAACCCTGTGTGCCCCATTTGTCGACACTACTGCTGTCGGACTATTTCCGTTTTTCATTCTACCTACCAACTGTACGAACAAAGTTCCTTGAATAAACACGCGTTTTGAAATCGTTCTCTCTAAGTATTTCGAGTCTTTTGTTTCGATCCGCGAAGGTCTTCCGTTGAATAATATCAACGCGAACTTATCTAGCTTCTTGCCACTATTCAAATGTTGTCCTGGAGTGGTACCAAGCCAACGGGGTCACTTTCGTAGCCAAGGACATGAACCCCCCCCCCCCAACGCACCGGAACCGGCTCACCGAAAAATACTGGGCTATTATGAAGCAGTCACTACTGAAGCATCCCAAGGAGGTCTAATCTGAGAGGGACATGAAGAAAAAGTGGGTTTCCGTACAGAAGAAGCTGCAGCCAGATGTTGTACAGAACCTAATGAGTGGAGTTAAGCGTTTATGGTATTGAAGTTGAATGGAATAAATATGATAAAAGCTTACTAATAAGTTATATTTTATTGTCTGAAAGTTTGAAAAGGATCAGTCAACTAGGTAATTTTTTACAGCGTTTTTTACGTGATGCAATTTGATGTGGGACACCCTTTAGGGCAGTTAGGGATACCCCTCACCACAGAAAAACAGACATAACACTCGAAAATTGTTCATCGAACAAGCATTTAACGGATAATTTAAAAGTATCGTAGTTGGTAGTACCGGCACCTGTGGCGCGCATAGTCAATTCCCTTGCGTTTGACGTTTACACACTACCGCCATCTGTTCAGCGTACTACCCACCACAATGTACTCAACAGATGGCGGTAATGTTTTAGCGACGATGTTTTACAGTGAGAAATATTCAATGTGTTATGTCTGTTTGTCTGTGCCCTCACCATCCCTCTCCAAAGGGGAGTTTGGTAAAGAGAGATGATAAAACCGATTTGTACCTTCCTTAAAAAGTTGTCCTAGCTCGCAATATACTTTCTATATGCAATTTTCACACTGCCGTAATCTAAACGGAACTATCAATTCAATACTTTCATCTCCTCCTCATCTATCGTATAAAAATTACCACTTCTGTCTACTATTCGAAATAGCATCTTCAACTATGTAAATCGTTGACTTTACGCAGAAGTAATACTAAACATATAGTCAAAGTAAGATATTGGTAATAGGTTTCCTACAGCTCTTGAAGCACCCACGTTGGTGATGTTGGTGATTTTCATTTAACTGAATTTCGCCATCTCTATGTTTGGTTAAGTTTTGTACTAAGTTTTTCCAATGCACACTAGAAAATCATCTCGCGCTGTTAGTTAGTCTGAATTGTTATCCAGAGGTAGATGAGTTCTAAGGCTGATTTATTCGATTTTATCTTAATTTGGGTGCAACTTGAAAAAACGGAGTTAACCTTCTTTATCTGTTGTTGAAAAAAAGAATGCTTTTCTCGACATTTTAAAAATAGTCTCAAAAGATGCACTTATGATAAACTGTCATAACATTGTTCAAATTAATTATGAAGTTTGTGAACATGTTTCGTGAATTTTATCAGCTTAAACAATTAGCTGAAAAGCATACCAACATGCATCATCAGCTGTACAAAATAGCGAATGGCATAGGAGAAATGGATGTAATGTCGGCCTAAATGCCCCTAATTTGGACCCATACATAAATTCGACAATCGATTAAATGTTCAATAGCGACCAAAAATATCCATTAGTACCGTTCCGATGACGCGATCATCTAGATAAAATTGATAAATAGCAGATTTTTAGCGATGGGTCCAATCTTAAATGCTTAGGCCAACATTAGAGCCATTTCCCCCACATATGCACTGAAATCGGTTATTCCGAATGTGAGAATTATCCTCAGGGTATTTAATGCAATGATGACCACCAACTGCTCAGGATAGCAGTCAGTTTCAAAATTAAAATTAGTGTAACATTATTTGAGGGATACTATGAACCAGAGCTAAGTTATTATTTATCAAGAAATATTACTGAACATTGGTCTCATCACTTTTATTAACAAGTCGGTTACGAATTTAGATTAGTAAGATTTAATGAATGTTAGAATAAAATCAGGTTGGCTTAAAATTTCATTCGAAAAAGGTTTATCACAAGTCTTTTTATATCATGGATGGTAGACCTTAAAACAAGGTTGCAAAGACTCATTTCAGCTAAAACAATGTTTTTCTAAACTATGAAATAATTAGATGCCATGATCAAATTTTGAATTGGTAGGATACAAGAAGAGGTTGCAAAGAATGTGTTTGACATATTAAACCTGTTTATTTCACTTCTTGAGAGTCACAATCAGCGATTTTTCACAAACTCACTCACTCACTCACTCACTCACTCAGCGATCAGCAAATCGCTGATTGTGACTCATAGAAAGCAAAATTTACAGGTTTTATGTTTCCAACGCATACTTTGTAACCTCTTCTTGTAAGTTACAAGTAAAACATACCATCATACCATCTTTTGGTTTTATTATTCCGAAAAACATTATTTTAGCTGAAATGAGTCTTTGCAACCTTGCCTTAAAATTAGACAAAATCAAATAGAAGGGACCACCATAAAAATAGACTAGGGCCACCAAGGGTAGTAAAGACGGCCCTGCGTCGGGAAGCTTAGAAATCTTTAGGGCAGTTTAATTAATTTCAATATCAGAAAAGTAGTGAGATCTTCAGGAAAGATGAGAAAACTTTTGATGTAGGGGAAATGGCTCTAATGTTGGGCCCATCGCTAAAAATCTGCTATTTATCAATTTTATCTAGATGAACGCGTTATTGAGACGGTACTAATGGATATTTCTGGTCGCTATTGAAAATTTAGTCGATTGCTGAATTTATGTATGGGCCCAAATTAGGGGCATTTAGGCCGACATTACATCCATTTTCCCTATTTAAAACCATGAACACAAAGTCGTAGGACATCATCTTTTGGTAATATTTTTGAACTTTTTTTTAAGGGGGATTTCCGGTTTAATATTTTCAAAAAATCGATTTTTTTTTTTCATGAAATCAAAGCTAAACATGTCTAAAATATGTGGGTTAAAGGATATTTCGATCCGGCAAATATTTACGTCACTACAGGCCTTTGAGTGCATCGACCTCCCGAGCGGTATGGAATGTTTCGCAAACTTTAAACGCGTTTTTCTCGAAACTACATTTTTCAAAACTGCGAGCACTCTAGCTTTTGTTCGGTTCAGCCAATTGACTTCGTTCTTTGCTTCCTTTATTAAAAACACTTTACTTCATGGAATGAACTATAGACTCAAGGAGAAATGTGCAATTTTCGATTTTTCACAGCCTGTCAAAGTCAAAAAATCGACCGAAAAAAACGGCTTTTTTTGAAATGCCCGCCATTTTGTCAAATTTTGAGATTTTTCAAAGATTCTAGTTCATTCCATTCTCTGAACTATACTCTTCAAGAAACTGAGCCGATTTTCTTTCTAGGTGACGATTTACGACCTCTAGGCTGCTCGCAGTTTTGGGAAGTACCCGCCGGGCAGCCGCCATATTGGACGCCATTTTGGATTTTTGGACTTGAAAAAATTCCCAGTTGTAGAGCAAGAATGAATAAAGATTTGACAAAAAACTCAGGTCTCTAACTCTTACCAGTTCCCTGGAAAAAAAATCCAAAGTTTAGGTCGATTGAACTGGAAATCCCCCTTGACAAGCTTTTTCATGAAATTTATACACAGATAACAGTTTAATCTGTCTGTATTGTTTCCTGTGTAGAAATTACATAAAATTCGTAATAGCGAAATGTAAAAATTTTTTACCAATAAGAACTATTCAACGATTTTTGTCAATTTTGATGTGTTAAAACTTGTATATTCCAAAAGTTTGCATTTTTTATGAGCTTGTTTATTTAAATTTTAAATTGAAGGTATAGGGGAATTTACGTATTCTCGGCAACCTAAGCAGTGACCTTCTTTCTATAGCCTTTTTCTCTATGGAACGCACACATATGCAGTATTGGTTTATTTACAATCTTTTGCTGCCAGCTGCTCTAACAATTTCAGTCGAAAGAATTGTCAAAAACTGTTTTGAAACGCTTTTACAAAGCTCCAATCTTCTCTAGTGAGAGCGAGTATTGTCGGCAACCAGTTTTTCTTCGGCAACCGTTCCATTTGAACTGCATGTAAATCTGCTGTTCTATTATCGGCAACTCGAAATCAGCTACAATTTGTAGTGCGTGTGTTTCATTTCAAGAAAACTCTGCTAGATGGCTTTTTCTCAGTGGTAAAAATATAGTCAAATTGAAGCTGAAAGCATAAAGAATCGTTTGCATGCATTCAGCGAAGTGTTTTCGTAAGAAAATCCAGTGAAAATAGTGTTTCAATTTGGGTTGCCGAAAATAGTCTGTCATGCCGAAGCCGTCATTTCCCCTACTTTATAAGATAATTTAGTTTTTAAAACTTTTTTTTGAGTTTTTACTCAAAATCACAAAAAAAAAATGTTGTCACATTAGAAAGACTTTATTTTTCTTTATTACTTCGTCTCAAACATCAGTTTGATCAGTAGTGAAGTTTTCATGCTAAAAATTATTGAAAATCGACAAAGACGCCATGTTGAAAAAAGAAAAAAATAGTAACAACCAAACTTGCCGATTTTTTTTGTAAAAATGTGAATAACACACAAAAATGCAAAGTTTTCTCCAAATCGGAGCAAGTCGAGTTTTCCGTTTCGTCATTTGACGTGGAACTGCTCTACTTCGAAATGATGTGTATCCCTCAAATCATTAATCATTACAGAAGTAATTTGGTGAGTGAAAAAGACCTTGATATTATGCTTCTTACCGATACAGTTTTCCATGGCTCCGGCGGCGAAATCCGGAACAGCCACCTGATCCATCTTGTCCATATACGTGCTGTACGGAATGCCAATATATTCATCCATGGCCTGCAGTGTTTTCAATCCCGAATCCAACGCATATTCCGTCTGGTAAATTGCATTCGAACGGGCAAACACCCGCTGATTGTCCTCTGTGGTGTACAGGAAATCGGACACCAGGAAAGCTAGCAAATATACCGACATCTTCGGGGTTCTTTCGAACGAGGTCCGGACGTAACCTTCGAAACCTTCGCGCTCGTAGTTTGCAACCTCTTCGATCGGTGTGTTGGACACTGCACTGTAGTTGCCATGGTGAACGATTTCCAAGTCTAAGGTAGCTTTCAACGCAGGTTCGTCGAAACACGGGAAGGCAGTTCTGGCACTGATGGCTTGGAATTGAGTTGCGATCAAATATTTGCGATCTCCGTTGTAATTTAAGTAGCTGGATACGTAGATTCCATCCTCATCGGTCCTCAGCTCACCGGAGTATCGGAAATACAGAATGTACGACTCGGTGGGTACCAGGATTCTTTGCGATGAAAACATGATGAATTCTCTATCGCGATTCAGCATATAGTTGGGTCTATCCAGGAGAATCCTATCCTCGTATGTGGCGTTGGCGGGCAACATGTATAAATCCACATTTTCTATAATGAGTCCACGTTGGTGGACGTAAATGGCTCTCACCGGGTTCTTAACGTTGAAGTACAAAGCTGCCCGGCCATCGAATGTTTGATTTCCCTCGTGAATCCCGGTCCGGATCCGAACCCAGTAATGGAACGGTTCGATGTAGCTTGGAATCCGATAGGGAGCTTCAATAGGATTTCTTGCGGTTGTTGATTCGTGATTTCGGAGAGCTGCGAACTTCTCCTCCGTACTGATCAAATCCGGTAAACTGTAGCCATCTCGGGCTTTTGGGTGGGCGTACGCTACGGAGATGGCGCAAAACAGAGTTAGTAACTTCCAAGGTGTCATTGTGAGAACACAAACCAAACTGAACGGTTTCGGCCAAATACTCGTTATGACATTGAATTTTTCTGGTTAGATAATCTTTATTTCGGATGATAAGTTTATGGGAAAATTGCCAATACGTATAAACGAATTAAGTCCTAATCTAATCGGTTGGCATTCTGTGCCGGGGACTAACCGATAAACGGGCCAACAAAATTACAAGTGATTCTGCACATTTTTTCCCACTGATCCCACTTGACATTCATAGCCGTTCGTAATTGGAATTTAATGATTTAAAAATAAATAAATTGCTTGTCCTTTAACCTGGTCCCGCTATCGATTACCGCTCGATTCATTCTTTATTTGAACAAGTGGCACTCGATCAACAACAATCAGTTGCACACACAACCGGTCGGTCGGTACATGTGGTTAAAATGTATAATTTTCACCTGGTCCCCTCACCGAAAAATGCATGGGATCAAACGATGAAGTTTAACACAGCCAATCGAACCCGATGAAACGGGTGAACTCGATTAAACAACAACAACAACAACAACGGCTCGATGCGTGCATTTTGGATCATGTGGGCACATGGAGAGGTGTAGTAGATATGTGGGTAAATTATGTGCGAATGTTCACACCTCGCGTGCCTTTTATTACCTCAACGACGATGACGACGACGACGATGATGATGATTCGAAAAACCGATAAGCCTATTGAACGGGACTGATTAATTTCTTCCTTATTCTGATGCCCCACACCGTGTGGGGAAATCCGAAATGGAGTCTCGCTCGCTGACATTCAGATATCATCGCATCAATACGTGGAAGGCGGTAGGGAGCGAGTCAATCATCGATACTCAATTGAGATAGCAGCGATGTGAACGCGTGTGATGGTAAACAAACCGTATGTGTGCATTACTAGGCGCGAACGTGCGGTGGCGAATGCCTGTGTGGTCCTTTTGGGGTCGAAGTGGGGCTCATTATAAACCCACATCGACTGGCGTGGGACCCGTTGATGATGGGGTGCTCTTGGTATTGAATTGCTTGGGAAAATTGCCACTGTTTTCTAGTTTCGAACAATGTGCTATTTTAAGTGTATTGTGGTATTTTAAGAGCGGGATTCCTTCTGGAGAATTTTTTAATCTTTAGTTAACAATGTTCTGTAACATTTTCTGGGTCCAGAAAATGTGAACATGGGATGTTTGATATAACCACACACGCGTAACTGATGTCTTCCTTCACTGTTATCGTAGTTCACCTTCCTTTTCAGCAAGAAATGGGCCGAGCAACACCTGAGAAATTAATCACCAGATCGAACAGTCTCGCCGTAATCGAGACGTCGTTGGAACGTCTTCTAACAATCACACTATGGGACGACGAAAAATGGCTGAGTATCTAGCAAACGCACTTGGTAGAAAACCATGCGAATACTGACCTCAACCAATAAGATGACCTTTCGGATCTATATCATCTAAGCTCACAGCTTTCAGCTTGCCTTGCATTCGGATCAGTACGATCGGGATCGAAATTAGTGATCACGATCGAATATTTACCTGTCTCTTATAATATTATTAAGAATTCATAGGTAGGTAATTGTATATAAGCTGTAAGATCACTTTGGTGATCCGTAAGGTAGATTGTAAATAATGTCAATAAGTAATAGTTTAATTCAAGAAAACCAATTCAAATCTTACGAATACCGATAATTCCGGCCACCTTAAAATAGCCAGATAGTTTAACATTGTGTTGCTTCCAGCTGCTCAAGAATGTCGATGAACTAGCCACGGGGCAATGTAACTGGTAGACTGATTGATAGTCCCAGGTTCAATTTTCATCGAAGGAACATACTGGTTTTGAGGTTGCCGGAAATCAACTACTGGCTCAATATAGTCTTGAGTAACATGCTGAATTTTTTTATTTTTTTATTCATTGATTGATAGGATAAAGAAAGCCCCTGGCAGAGCCTCCGTATCTGAGGATCGATTCTACAACCCCGGCGAGGAGCCTTCGCTTACTAGCACTCACCGCCAAGCTGTTTGACATCATGCGGGATAATGCCCCCACAGCCGTAGACGCTCTCTTGCAGGCGTACTCGACGTGGCAGCCGAAGCTGAGCTTATCATCGAGCATAACCCCCAAGAGTTTCAGAGAGCGCACAGATCTAATTGTGCTCTCGCCCACTGTCAACGTCGCATGCTGTACAGACATGCGATTGTTGACTACGACCACCTCCGTCTTGTGATGGCCGAGCTCCAGTTTCCTAGATCTCATCCATTCCTCCACAAGCTTAACGGAGTGAGCCGGTGTCAGCCGGTGTCACCGTAGACTACCAGCGTGACATCGTCGGCAAAACCAACGATTTTCACGCCTACTGGGAATCTTATCCTCAACACTCCGTCGTACATGACGTTCCATAACACCGGGCCCAAGATGGAGCCTTGTGGCACTCCTGCGGTGACTCTTACGCATTTTTCGCCATCTTCTGTGTCGTACTTCATCACACGATTCTGGAAATAGCTTTCCAGAATCTTGTACAGCCCTCCGGGGGATTCGGAGTTGGTGTAGAGAGCGGGCTATCGCCCCCCAGCATCCGCTGTTGAACGCATTTTTCACGTCTAGAGTTACCACCGCGCAGTAACGAATACCCCTTCTTTTCCGATGGACCACCTCTGCCGTCTGGATGACGTCACGGATGGCTTCCACCGTAGATCTGCCTTTTCGGAACCCTGCTTGACGGCTGCTTGACAGGCCGTCTACACCTTCGGTGTAAGCCGACAGCCTGTTGAGGATGACCCTCTCAAGCAGTTTACCATTGGTGTCCAGTAAACAAATGAGCCTGTATGCTAACGGGTCCCCAGGGGGTTTTCCTGACTTCGAGAGAAGCACCAGCCTCTGCCGCTTCCACGCATATGGGAAGATGCCTTCTTCCAGACAGGTCTGAAATACAGACCTGAACATGTCTGGATTTTCCACAACGGCCGCTCTCAGAGCCACAACCGGGATCCCATCCTGGCCCGGGGCCTTGTCCACCACCAGCGACTTGGCAATGTCGGTCAGTTCACTGTTAGTCACTCTAGACACTTCTCCCTGTTCCGTGACTGGGATATCCCGCGGCCAGGAGTCAACGTCCCTACGTGGAAACAAGAACTGCACGATTGACGACAGCATCGTCGGCGATCTCTCCGGAGGTGCCGCCACGCCACGGGTTTTTGCCATGACCACTTTGTAGGCATTTCCCCAGGGGTTCGTGTTAGCGCTTTGGCATAAGCTGTCGAAGCACGCACGCTTGCGTCTGGCGATCTCTTTGTTGAGGGCCGCCTTAGCTGCTCGAAGAGCGACGCGGCGTTCCTCTCGAGATTCGGCCCTACGAGCCATTTGCATCCTTCTTCTCGCGTGGAGGCAAGACGCCCTGAGCATAGCAATCGACTCGCTCCACCAGTACACCGGTCTATGACCATGCCTGGGATAGGCTCTCCTAGGCATGGTTGTATCGCACACCCTTGTCAGCGATGCTATCAGTTCTTCCCCGTCAGATCAAGGGTTATTCGCTACCGTCTCAGTGCTTTGCTGAAGACCTTTTCATCGAAGAACGACGTCCGCCAGCCTCGAGCGCATGAAGGACTCCCTCCTGCCACTCGCCTCTCACCTGGCCCCACACTATAGCGAATCGCCTGATGGTCGTAGGTTGTAGGTTGCCCTCCAAACACGGGCTGCAGTACGTCACATCAATGACGGATTCTGCACCGTTCCGTAGGTACTAACCGAACCGCTGTTGGATAGTACAACGTCCAGTTTGGCCATTGCCTCTAGTAGGATGCATCCTCTCAGTTGGTGTGGTGGCTGCCCTACTCCACCGCCCATGCGTTAAATTCGCCCACAATGACCACCGGTCTTAGGCCGACAAGTACCGCAGTGAGTCTGTCCACCATCTGCGAGAACTGCCTGATGGACCACCTAGGCGGAGCATAACAGCTACTTAGATATACTCCGTTGACCCTGGCGATCACGAATACCTCGCTCGAGTTGGAAGAGACCCCCTCCTGAACGGGGAAGCTCCCTTATCGTGCATATCGCCACCATCCCCAACGCGTCCGTGACCCAATTCCCGTTGCCGGATAGGACCCGGTACGGGTCGGAGATGATTGCGACATCCACTCCCCATTCCACTGCCGATTGCAACAGCAGTTGCTGGGCAGCCGCGCATTGGTTCAGGTTCAACTGCGCTACCTCGAACATGGCTGAGCATTGCTCTTGGCCGGGGCGCGCTGCCCCGCGCTGGGCCACCTGCCATGTGGTTGGTGTGGGATTTCCCTTTCTCCGCGCATATTGTGCACTTCGGTGGCTTTTGGCAACTCTCCGCCTTATGGCCCTCCGAACCACACCGTCTGCACAGCTTGCTTCTATCGGTGTTTTTGCAGTTACGAGCCAGATGGCCCTGACCGAAGCACCTGAAGCAAGCCGTAACCGGTCGGGGAATGCCCACTCGTACCATCTCTGTGGCTGCCACCTTTCTGGCATCAGCTGCTGGGAGCTTGATGATGGAGAACAGCCCCTTCTTCAGGGTAACCGCTATTGGCAGTACCTTGATTTGGCACTGCTCCCTGAGCGTCTTGACTAGTTCGGTCACCTCCGTCACTTCGTCCAAGTCCTTAACCTGGATGGTGATTGTCGAGCCTAGTAATATCACCTACACCCCATTACCAACGACCTCCTCTGCCAGTTTCTGGTAAGCCGGTCCCTGGTCTTTAGCACCACGCTTAAGCACCAGGAGCATCTCGCCAGTACAAGTGCGCCTGATGCTCCTCACGTTGTTGCCCATCTCCGCAAGACCCTCGTCCACTCTCATCTTCCTCAAAACTTCCGCGTACTTCGACGCTTCCGTATTGATAATGAGAGCCTCGCCCATCGTCTTGAGCTTGTTCCGGGCAGTGCTGCTCTTAGGGGCAGTTTTTTTCCGGGGGTTTCGGGGGAGCGCCCTTGTTACCACCCTGTTTGAAAGCACCACTTTTCTCAATCGCTCTGT